CATTTTTTCATAAAATAACTACACGTAAATTCAAATTTTTTTCTTATTCTTATTTTTTATCCACAGACTTTTCAAAAAATACTATATCTAAATATATTTTCCAAAAGATCTCATTATAGTGGAGCGCAAACAACGGCTTAAATTAATTATGCATTTCTAATCTTTAGACTAGTCTAGAATTACTAATAGGATTATGGCTAAAAGATATGATTAACAATGGGAATCCCAATTAACATTGACCGTTTGAATATTTGACCAAGTAATTCAACATCTTGAATCACAAGTATGCAAAAAGAATCATGCCACTCAGTCCGCATGGATGACACCCTCAATGACGTCGTCCTCACAGAGGATGCGTGGGTCTCGTGAGAATAAAATAATCCCGACCCTCTATGTGTGTGTGCGATCATTTCCGCGGGTCGTGTAGCACGATTGATACAAAAAATAGGTCATTTCAAAGCAGAATGTACTACTTAAAAAATGTCTTCATTTCCTCTAAGCTTGGCTTCACATTAATCTCTTAATTAGTCATGGTTGATGATCTCCTTAATTTCTACATACTGCATCAGAGAAGATGAAGAAAAGAAATAAAAAATGCAGTACGACAAGGATAGCTAACCTGAAAACATTTTTAGTTCTAACTTTGATCAATTATTATGGGAAGTTTGGTGAAATTTAATTCACAAAGGTTGACATCTGGTTCTAGTTATGTGAACACAATTTTATTAATTAATTTTCAGATTTTTACTTAAAAAAAGGTTGAACCCCAATCTTGAGGGTCCCCACCATCCTGCCCCTAGAGTTTTGTGAGGGAGGTAAATCGCGGAATGTATCCCATCAGATCAGAGAACAAAAGTTGTCTGTACACTGCGCAATTTTCAGATGTTTACTTGTTTCGTTGGGGTTTCACCTTAACTACTGAATGTAACAAGTCAAAATTAGTTATAATAAATAACAAAAATGTTTATAATTGTTAATATATGCTGTGAAGTTGACCAGATGACAATTCGAAATATTAACTACATACCACGGTAAATTGGACGCTTCAGTTTCTATCTTCTGTGAGAATTTAGCTTTCGAATTGAGCAAGTTTACTTTGACTGCGCCTCCTATCCAATAATGTCTTATTAGATATATCAAACGAGCAATGACGAAATGAGTGCAGGTTCTGCTAAATGGGTAGTTGTAAAGTGTATAGATGGCAAAAAAATATGTTCAACCCGATACTCATGAGGCCCCACTCCGAATGGGGCCGGTAATACCCGCCTAACCAGGTACATGGGATGGATATGGGGTGAGGGTCATTGCTCCGAAACGGGTATAAGACGGGTACGAAAAACATAGTTCCCGTCCCATTTAATATTAATTTCAAAGTTAAGTTTTTATCAAACAAAAATAATAGATTTATCATTCTTTTTAAAGAAAATATAAGTTGTTTTTAACAAATTGGTAAAAAATAATACTATTTACTAACTAAGGACATCAAAAGTAAAAGCAAAAAATAATAATAATAATAATAATAATAATAATAATAAAAAGAAAAAATAAATGGGGTGATAAATGAGGCAAGAGACTTGCCCCGCCCCAACCCAATCCCGCCCCGAACCCACTTTAACCGGGTATATGGTAAGATAACAAAAATACTCGACGGGATGGAGTGGAAATGGTCAGCCCGTCCCATATCCGTATCGTTGCCATCCCTAAGAAAGTGGTTCAAAATAGGAGGTGTTTGGGAGTGATTTTTCACCTTCCAAAAAATTGATTTTTTTATCGTTATTTCATTATTTCAACCATAATTTTTGACTTTCTCTCTCACAGGTAACTCCCACTTTTCTCCTAACAATTTAAAAATCAATTCTTAAAATCTTTACCGAACGGGGCCATAATGTGTAATTAAAATTAATTATTGACTTTGACTTCAATTTTTTTAACAAGTTTTAAATTTTGCTAGGACAAACACAAAAAGGTTCGTTTGGCAGTATTTTCACTTTTAATTCTACTTCTAGCAGAAGAGTTTATTGACGAAGATGTCTTAAACTATCTTCTTCTATAAACTCTTTTAGTTCGGCAAATCACTTTTAAAAAATTGTCCAAAAATATTCGAAAACTATTTTTAGTCTTAAAATCAATATTAGACTTTTCAAAAACATTGCCAAATGGGCCATAAAGCTATTTTCATTTTCGTTTGGGGCAATTACATAAATACACTGAAAAGTAGGAACATTTTGGAAAACCAATATTGTAAAAGAGGGTTTACGATGTAAATACTGTTAAAATGATTTAAAACCATATTAATTACGATTTTAAGGTCCATAATATACATATTACAGATCCCTAACCTACAACTATCCGTATTCTTTAAAGCTTCCACTAAATTCAAAATTAATTCAATTCGAGAAGTTCTTTTTCAATTTTGACAAAATTCAGAAGTTTCTTATCTAATGTCAGATATTATAATAAAATTTTCCTCTTTATAATTTTTATTTATCATGTGATAAGTTTTCAATTGCAACTTTTCATATTCAAGTTGATTTCAACTCCTACTAGATTGCATTGGTTGACATGCCTCACATTAATGATTTAGGTTTATATTTGTACAAATGTAATTTTCATTCTACAGCATATGTAATTTCATGTGTAGATTAATAATTTTTAGTTAATATATTCAGATATATTTATATTTATTGGCGGGATTATAAATTTAATTTAAATGTTAAGGTCTACCAAAACTTTATTCACCAATGAATTAATATGATATGTTATTGGTGCTTAGCATAAAATGAGCACCGATGCTCAGTAGATCATTCATCTCTCTCTCTCTATACTCACTGCATCAGTTTTTAAATTTTGCTATGATTTTGTTCAAATTTCTTTTGCCTAACGAAATGATGTCTAAAGGTGGGATTTCTTCTTCCATTAGAGGATTCATTCACGATTTTAATCCAAACATCAATCCTAACTTTTCTAATTAAAACATAGCTGAAAGGAAAAAGATTTTTTTTAAAGATGATATTTTATATTATTTTAAGTGGAACTCATTTTCACTATTTGGAAAATTTAAGCTATTTATGCTTTTCTATTTGTTTATTTAAAGGGGATGGTAAATTAGTTATTTTCTATCGCTTTAATGGAGTAAATAAACAATAATAATTTTTTCACTGAAAAAAAGATTGATCTAATGGTCCAAATGCTAAAATTTAAATGATAGGGACGATTTCCGCAATAAAGGCAAACAATAGGGACATTTAACGCCAATAGCCCATATTTGACTAAGAAATGACGAAATGAGACGAAAAAGACCAACTTCATAAGTAAAAGGTTGAAATGAGAGTGTAAATGCTAAATTTGGTATGATATGAACGATTTGCGCAATGAGTACAAACGATAGGGACATTTGTGCTAAGTACCCTTCAAATTATAGTATCTCATAATTTTTTAAAATTATTTTAAAAGAAAGGATATTTCTGTAAGTACCCATAATTTCTTTTAGAGCAGCTGGCCTATTTTGGCCTTCACATTTTGGGAAAATTACATAATTCCAAGTATCTAAAGATCACAATTCAAAAATCAGGGTTAAAGTTTTACTATTCATATATCAGGTATCAATATAATAATTAAATATTAAATATTTCCCTAGATTATTCCAAACCATAATCAATTTTTTCCTTACCCTTTCTCTCTCTACCCTTTCTTCTCTCTCAGTCTTTCCCGCTTCTCCATCACAATCGTTTTCGAAATTCCTTGTTGGTAGGGTTCATGATGTCGCAGTGTAGTGGCGATGCTCTGAAGATCAGCGTCGGTTCAGATGCGAGACCTGCGCCGCTGAAAGAAGATCGGCGTCACTGCAAGAGCGCGATGGAGATGTTATTTTTTGCCCAGGAATGCTGCTACTATGCAACTTCTGCCCAGGAACACCGTCTGCAAGTGGCGCTGTTGTACTTTTGCACGTCACCAAAACCACACAACCGCCTATTGGGAATTATCCCACACACTTCTACTGCGCGACTTCTGACAGGAACATCCTGCTCGGGATCACAGATAATATTATCACCTTTGTGTGGTTTTGGTGATGGTAGTGTGGTGGATCTAGGTAAAAACGGCGATAGTGGTGATGGTAGCGACGATGCTTGCGTTGGCAATGGTGATTGTGGTTGTGGTGTAAAGAAGATGAAGGGCTGGTGGTAGTGGCGGTGGCATGGTTGAATTGTTGGTGGTGCAGGTAGCTACTGTGATGCTAAGTTGGTGCTTGATTTCAACGAAACTTGTAGTGTTTGTGACCAATTATATACGTTGTTCGGTTGGTGGTGTGTGTTGGTTTGTTTTTGCAGGAGGTGGTGGTTTTCCCAGCGGTGGTGTTGGTGGTTGTGATGGTATTGTGGTTGGGGTAGTGTTTGTGACCAAGTATTATGGTGGATCGAGATCGAGATTTTGACGTTTGTGACCAACTATTTGGTCCCCTGTGACTGTATTAATTCGTGACTTTAAGATTCGATCATTTGTGATTAAAAAAAGTAATCCGTGACCATCAAATTTAAAAATATGTGACCAATAATTTTTTGAATTTGTGACCATTTGTAACTTATAATTTTTTGATCCGTGACTTCAAAATAATCTGTGACGTATTAAAATTTTGATTTGTGATCTCAAAAAAATTTGCAACCCATTAATTTGATGATATGTAACCAGTAAATAAATCTGGGACTTATGATTGTGAATCTGTGATCATTAATTGTATAATTGTGACTTTATCATCATTATTTAATAAATATTTTTAATTAATTAGTTAAAACCTGATTTTTCCATTAATAAAACTTGTAATCTGAATTTTGAATTATGCATAGTTAAAACCTGATTTGTGAACTCTTCCCTTACATTTTCCTCTTCCAACTTTGATGCTTGTTACGGAAGTTCCTCAAGATGAATTTGGGCTTGACAACAACCTTATTATACAAAGAAGTCCATCAGCCCAGTATGTCTTTGGGATATTTTGGCATCGTAAAATTCTGTGATTCGACAATCTACAACAATTCCTTCCTTTTTTTCTCAAGATTTTCTTGGCCATCCTCCTCATCACTTTCCTCCCCATCCCACAAGGATGGCCATGAATAATCTTCTATTCACCACTTCACCAATATCTCACAAGCAACTCCTCTGCTCATTCTCTTCATTGCCAATTCACACACTCAGCTACTCACCATCACCTCTGCCTCTTCACATTCCTACTTTGCCCTCGAGAAAACCAAGAAATTCCATCTTCACCCCCCAATCTAAGGGGAGCGATTCAGCTGATGCTCCTGACCGCTTAATCTCAGCCATTACTTACTTTTACCCCTTTTTTGATGGCATACAGTATGGCAAATATGTCATTACACAGTTCAGTCCCTTTCAGACAATCATTCAACCCTTAGTCCCAGCAATTAAGGTTTTCAAAAGCTTCCCTTTTAATGGGTTTTTGGTTTTCTTGACCCTTTATTTTGTTGTTGTGAGGAATCGCAATTTCAGTAGGTATGTGAGGTTCAATACTATGCAGGCTATAGTTCTTGATGTGCTCTTGATTTTCCCTGAATTTTTGGAGAGGACTTTTAATCCAAGAGATGGGGTGGGCTTGGAATTGATGATGAGCTTGGATAGCACTGTGTTCTTGTTCCTCTTGGTGTGCTTGATTTATGGCTCGTCCTCTTGTTTGTTTGGTCAAGTCCCCAGATTGCCCCTTGTTGCCGAGGCTGCTGATAGGCAAGTTCTTTGAATTATGACTCTTGTACTTCATTTGGCGATTTCAGTAATTTTTCTTTGTCATATTGATAAGTTTTAAGTAGTTAGTAGTAATACTTGTATCTTTATCATGCCATGAAAATTTGAGTCCAGTTCTGTATTCTGGACAATGGAAGAAGATTGAAATGGTTTTGGATATCGTCTTGTGGGATTCAGACCTAACAGGTCAATTGATGATAACCTAGATTCCTTGGTTGAATGTCTTGAGAGTATTTAAGGCAGAAATTCAACATGCAATGTATCTGTTATGTTATGAATCAGTATTATTTTTGGTATGTTTATCTTTGGACTCTTCCCTTAGGTTTAGTTTGGATACTTGGATGGTGATCTTTGCATTTTAACGAGTACAAACTCATAACAATGACTTCTTGAATTAACCGTAAATGCCTTTGCAATATCCCAGTGTACTATTCATTATGGTTTTCATGCTTCTAAAGCTTGTTCTCTATAAATATACGTAAGCGTCTCTTCATATGGATGTTTACATGCTCTTGACCATGGCTCTGAAAGAGTGATTTGTATCATTGCATTTTGCTAGGTTTGAGGTCACCGCCTTATTATTTCAACGTTAAGCCATTTAACGTTGGAAATACTATAATGCATGCCAAAGGCAGTCATTCAATTAGGAAAATGTGCATGACTAGACTATGAGCTAGGCAGTTTCTCCTCAGTTTTGGATTGAATTTTCTGGTCAATTTTGTCATTTTATTTTATTTTGAATAATGTGAACCTAGAATTGTTTTTATTGCACCTTAAGATCAAGCCTCCACTCCTAAGTCTATATTTCGATTTATTTCCATTATTAATAAAACATGCCAACTAGAGCAGTTTATTAAAAATGTAAATACCAGGTATTAGTTACTGAACTTCTCTGCCAGTCATTTCGTGTTTCCTTTACAATTGACGTTACATGGTACGACGTTGATAGTTCCCCAATGAAAAAGTGAGGCATGGTCTTGACTACCGGATTACTTTTGAAAGTAGTAGTTTGGAAAAAGGTGTGCCAATCAACTAGTGGTTGAACCCTTTCCGTTCCCTCGAGACTTGAAGAGTGTAATGATCTTTATCCTTGTTTGGGAGGCTTTGAACTTTGGTAGTTATCCCGTTTCATTTGTTTTTCACGAGGATAAATGGTGAATCTACAGCTCAGAGAGTTTGGATTGTCAATCACTATAGAAAGAAGAAGAATAGAGGAGACCATTACTATATTGTTTATGTAGCAAAATTTTAAGCCCCTGTTTGACTCATGAGCCCCCCCACCTTTGTAAGAAAATGAGTTTCATAATAGTGATTTTTGGGGAATGTGTGGTTAAAAAATAGGTTGAAATTTTACGTTTAAGTGCAAAAGTATTATATTGAATGAATGTTTAGTTGAAAATGAGTTTTACAAAATGAATTTTAAGAAACAGGGGTTAATTTCTAATACTCATTTTGAATTATACATTCACAAAATATTCTGCAAATAAATCTAAAATTTTTCCTACCTTTAAACCATCATTCTTCAAAAAATCACTATTTAAAACACCATTTTTCTCCAATTTCTCTTTATAATGGCTATCAAACATGGGTAAAGTTGGGAATGCCTTTCTTGTCATTACATTGACCTACTTAGTGTTAAATAGGTTTAGGGCATGGGTCAGGGGATAATTCCCTCTTGGACTATGCGATGGTGGGCTCATCTTGGGCCTTGAAGCTCGGGTTTTGCTAGAATGGGCCTTGTCACTTCAAAGGGCACCCCTATTGGCTGGCGCTGCCATGACAAGCGACCAGCCAATAGTTCATCCCTGGCCATGTGGCCCTGGACGAATAGCAAAACCCTCGAAGTAGAGATACCAATGTTTCAATTAGGGAAACAATCATGCTATACGTATATTAAGGATCATATTTAGTTTGACATTCTTTCATTTGGCAGCAATCTAAACATTAATTTTAAATACATCCATTCCATCACTTGCCAGATTTCTTCCACATCAAGGAGTGTCATTGTCAAGTTAGAATGTACATTTAGCTTTATTGTTAGGGAAATTTATATAAATGGTACTAATTGGAGTTTGAAAAAAAGAAAAGAAAAGAGTTTATTAGTCTTTCGTAGTTTTTGCTCTCTATGCTTATTTTTAATTCTCTTATTTAGACATTTCATACTAGAGGTTGGTAGCTCTAATATTTAAAAACAAACATTTTGATAAGACACTGTATACTCCTAAATATTATTTAATATTGAAAACCTTTATTTTTGTGTGACCACTATGTTTTTATGTACTAAACGAGTCGTAACCGACATGCGACAACGACGAACCTATTACTTTTATAAGCCAAAGCAGACCTTTTGTCGTTGAAGGCATCTGTTGCCTAAACACCCTTTAAAATTGCCGATTTGTAGCCTCAGAAATATAGTTTATGTCATTTTGACAGAAAGTGATTAACAGAAGAAATGACATAATATCAGTTGGCAAAATATGATTGGATAAAAGAGCTAATTGTGTTTAAAACAATCTAGTGATGTAATGTCATGTGACATTATTTCAATGATTATGTCACTATAACATGATTTCGGTTTTCTTGGGTTGGGCCCCACGCTTATATCCTGATACCTAAAATAGCTCGCACCCATAGTTTTTGTAAAAAGCCCTTAAACTTTTCACGTTATGCCATAATAACACCCCCCGCTCCCACCGGGGGTCTTAAGTACGCGTCTCTTTCTCTATTTTTTTCTATTATTTATGTTACGTCCTTGTTTGAGCCACATTATTATTTTTAGAATGTATTTCTAAATAGTGTATTGATGGGAACATATTATTTATGTTACGTCCTTGTTTGTGCTACATTATTTTGTTTAGAATGTATTTTTGAATAAATGGGAAATGTGTGATTAAAAAATAAAGAAAAATTTTGGATTTGTGTGTAATATTATTTTATTGAAAAATGTGTGGTTGAAATGATATCAAATCACTGTTTAAAAATGTAATTTTTTGAAAAAATGTGTCTCAAACATGGTCGTAAATGTGGAAAAACGAAAATGCTTTCAAAAAGAAAAATGGAAAACTGAAATAAATGTTCGATGGATTGCAGACTAGTGACCAATTCTCTCTCGCTCGCTCGGGTTAAGGCTTGGTTTATTAGAATATTTTCACTATATTTAATAATTTTTAAGCATTGTTATACTTAAATATATGATAAGATTTGTATCCTTCTAGTGTCTATTTGCTCGCAATGTATATATTTGATGTAAAGGACAAAACTAAAGAGATAGTGTGAATGAGACTAGGTTCGATTGTAGTTGAGTGTCATGCTAAACAAGTCTCGAGAGTTGCATTTTATTTACAACTTCAACTTGTTGGTTCACAAAATATAAATTAAGATTGGATACTATAATAATTAAAATTTTATTGTCTTTCTTCCTTATTATTTTATGGTACTGTAAGTTTAACCAATAGGCTTGACCTTAATTCAAGTTCTTTAGTCCATGTTTTTTTGGATATTAAACTATCACATCAAAGGAGAATCATTTTTTGGACGATTTTAACCCTCCACAATTCAATTATTTCAATAATACCTTACTTTACATTTTTCGATATGTAATAAACATTACATAATTATTATCATCTATGAAATTTGTGTTATTAGTTCTCAATTAATTAACATTCATATTAATCTAGATTCATTGAATTTTCACTTAATGAATCTTGAATTACATGTATTAACAACTAAATCTTATGTATTCAATATAATATAAAAAGATGGAAAATTCTACTTGTACATAATTATTGCACATAATGGTGTCCATAATGTGATGTGGTAATCATCCGGTTGTTGATGTGCAAGTGTGAGATTTGAATTAAAGGTTAGATTCAGTGTCACATGTAATTATGGACATCATCATGTAGATAATTATGTACATGTAGCACTTCCTTAAAAGGATTGCTCATCTATAGTATTTCATCATTACAAAAATTTTGAATAATAGAAATTGAATTTTGAGAGTACAATTTTCTTTTTTTTTTAAATTTTTATACTAAATTTTATTTTCTTTAATTCGTCCGAAACTCATCAAATCTCCCAACAAATTAGTGCAAAATATTACTTTTACATAACGTATAAAGTATTTAGAAATAACGTGCAATACAAGTTCAACTTTAACTAGTATATTAAAATGGGAATGTATTACAAGCAAGCCTACCTAATGGTACCAATGGCACAATAAAAGAGTTGTAAATTACTAAAATAAGACGAGGTTGACCGTTAACTAGCCTTGGCACATGCTTTGATTGATTCAGCAATAAATTTTTTCTTGTGAAAGAGTTAAGGATGATAACGGTACGAGTACGAGATAGATCGATCATTCTTATCCCCACCTCTATCAAGTATCTTTTGTCACATTGTTCAACATTCATATCCAGTTAAAGTGGGGCCGGATAGGGTTCAAATCGAGATTGTTGTGGGGCGAGGCAAATCTCATGCCCCCACTTATTTATGTTATTTTATATATTTAATTAGTGAATATTACTATTTTTTTCCAATTTATTAAGAGGAATTCATGTGCTCTTTAAAAATAATAATAATTTTTTTTTATTTGATAAAAACCTTAATTTTTGACATTAATTTTAAAAGGGCGGATAGCAAGACGATGATTATATTTTCCATATATTCGCTTCGAGGCAATGGCCCCCGCCTTGTTTACCCGATTAGGCTTGTAACCTCCATCCCATTCGGGGCCCTAGGTTGAACGAATTTTTTTTTTCCTTCATCCTTGGAGAGAGCAAAACGATGGGTGTAATCGAGGGAGGAGTTGATCGCTAAAAAGGAAAATAGATTCTCTTTATTTTCAAGGGAAATGTAAATTCAATTTACTGAACCAATTACATTATGTTTCAATTTCCTTTACACCTCTATTTCGAAGTGCGCAGATTAACTTAACTATGAGAATACATTTTTCTCCCATATTAATCGCTTACATATCAATTCAACAAAATAAATAAAAGATTAACTGCCTGTTTGTGTCCCTTTAATTTCAAAAAGTGTATTATGAAATAGTGATTGATGTTGAAATGTGTAGTTAAAAATGAAAGAAATTTTTTTGATTTATGTGTAATATTATTTTAATGAAAACTATGTGGTTGAAAATGAGTACTGTAGAAAAAATAATGTGATAGAATGATTGACAAACAAAGGCTAAACAACCTAGCAATCATTTTTCATGTCTTGTTTGAGCCAACTACTTCAATAATAAAATAAAAATCTATGGCTTCAGATCCTCCTCCATGTAAAGGTAGCTTATCTGATCATTGAATAAGGAAGTTATGGGCAATGGAGTCCATCCGGCATTTCCCCTCTCGATCTTTGCTAAACATATATCCTTAATATGCTTGAAAATACAGTGATTTTCGACAACAGGTTGATCCGCATATTCCTCCAAAGGCATCCACTGCGTAGCAACCAGTAACTAAAATTTGTAAGCACTACGTTCTATAATTTGTGAAAGAGAAGGCAGTTCGAGTCAGAAAGCAATTTAAGATACCTGGGCTTCCTCGATTTCCGAGTCTTGCTTATGGATGTCAAAGGATAATGGTTGCAGCATGCACAAAAAGATCAAGTCTGACTTGCCGAAGAAGTACCTGTGCTTCTGCCTATAAATTGAAACAAATGATTGAAATGAATATTGAGATTCGAGTTATGCTATATGTACAAAATTAGTTTGCAAAGTTGGTTGACGAAATAATATCTACACCAATCATTTCAAAAACAGATTTTTAAATATTTGAAATCGATGATCTAGATTTTGCTAGCACTTATCTGTCAACCAAATTTGTAAACATAGTTTGTACAAATAGCGTAATACTAATACTTCAAATATATAAAGCGCTCGTCCTGTCTCTAACCCCCCAAACAAAACAAATTTGTATCATTCCCAATAAATAAAGAGTTAGATACATGCAAAACATATCCTAACCACCTTCAGTGTCATTCCCTTAATTTATTCAAGTCACCACATATTCCTCTATTATTCCCCTCTCAATAGATGCCACCTCCTATTTCCTCCAAATTTAGGATTTATTGTAATTATTTCTAGCATGCTCACACGTCCATCTTAACATTCTCATTTCTGTTACATTTTCTCTCTTTATGACACGTTATTTTCTATAGCTAATCCAGATGGAAGAAAATTCAAAACAATCTACGCCGCAAGAATCTTTTATAACAAAGCTGGCATGTCATACGGATTCTCATCGAGAAGGATCATTTAGTTCAGTAATTACCCCAAAAAATAAAGTAAACTCGGCGCCAAAATTTGTCTCAATTAGCTGCCCATTTTTATTCTTGGGAGAATAACTAGTAAGTTTTTCTCATGCGAGTAGGAAAAGAATTTTTTTTTTCTTTTTCATGATTGTGGGTGTCCGGACCAGTTTACGCGCACCTCGACTAATCTCACAGTAGAGAAGACTTCAACCGGTGACTATTGAGGGACAAACCTAAGGCTTGACTACTGAGCTACTTCTCAAGGTTGCAAGTAGGAAAAAAAACTTCAGATTAGAAGAAAATCTTGAGTAACATTTCATTAAAAACTTTTACCTGAATGCTATCACATCAACAAATTCCGTATTGATCTGCAATAATAGATATCCAGCTCTCTCAAAATACTACACCAAAATGCTTGGAAATGGGAAATTACATAATGTTTGTTTATACCTACACAGTGATTACTTACTCCTGTTTCTTCTTTTACTTCTCTTGTCGCACCTGTGAATATATCCTCTCCCTGTGGATTAAAGAGCTCAAAGACACTGATTAAAGAGATATAAGACCTCGTGTTGGAACTGAAACTTCTGGATACATGCATACCTCTTCAAGAATACCAGTAGGGATCTTCCAAATACCTGTTCCCCAATATCTGCCAATCTTTTCCCGTACAACTAACAACTGTAAAAGAGAAGTTGCAAAATTTGAAATAGAAATTCTATTGTTACCCCTATTCGATAAATTTTATTCAGTAAGCTGAAGCACAACTTTCACATTTATATCAAAATACAATATAGTTCCTAGAGAAAATTAAATCCAAAATAAGAGTTGTGAATTTGCTGATGAAGAAAGATGGAATAAATACGTATGCCCAACACCAACAAAAACGGAATGAGAAAAAGCCACAGCTCGAGGTTCCTTCTCATATACAGAAACTTCACGGAGTACCTCTCTTTTATCATTCATGACAATAGCACCAATTCGGACTTGGTGTGTAGCATTTGCAGGGATAGCGCTCAAAGTATCAGGAATCCAATATGCAAGCATCAAGTACTGAGGCTCTGCATGATGATACCAAAATCCTTCCTGCAAAAATACAGCACTATCTGACTAAATTCAGGAGTCAAAACATAATAATTGATCCAACAATATTAACCTGGTAAAACTACTAAACAAACTGCTGCAATTTTTTAAAATATAATAGTCCCAAAATCTTACAGAACTGGAACAAACTTTAGCAACAGGTGCCAAATCGGAAACCTAACAATCACACCACTTCTATAGTTGTTAGGATTGATTATTTAATGTATTATGAATCAAAACCAGTAAATCACATTTTCATATCGATAATATCTTGTGTTTCAAGGGAAGGAAACATCATGGAATTTGTAGACCTAACATGAGACACATACAAATATCCATGCCTCAAAGTACAACCACTCTGTTTGACATGACATGCTCAATTCTAGGAAAAGCCATGAAATGCTAATATGACAAAGACCTTAAAATATAAAAAATATAAGGAACAGCCCGTTTTACCTTGACTGCAATTTCAACAAGATTAGCAAGTCCAATTGGTAGTTTGATCCAAGCACCCTTCTTTCCCTGCAAGATAATTTTGTCAAACTAGCAAAAAGAAACCCAAAAATCAAGAAATTTTAGCATTGGATCAAATGCATGTTACCACATGTTAATTATATCTAAACAAGAGGGAGTCATTGATTGAAGATTGTTAAACAGTCGCTGTAAGCAATCTTCTGAAATGAATTGGTTACTATGATGCTCATTCTGCACAAGCACCTTGACCAGTACAAGTATTTAGGAAAATGATTTCAAAATAATCGATCAGAGAAACATAAAAAATCTTTTTTAGCATATAAGTGGTCGAAGGAAGGGAAACCCATAAACATTCTGAGTAATTACTGAACCACAAAAACCTTTCATTCTACAACTCTTTCCCAAGTCATACTAAACATGTGAATCAAAAGAAAGAATTTAAAGATTCTTTGTGTAAGGTCAGGATGAACAAGACATTAAAAATTTTGGAAGTTCTTGAGTCTAGCAACACAACAAGGTGGAAATGTTAGTTTCCTTGATCATTCTCTTTACATTAATGCTTGTTTGGTAGTACTTTCAATTGCTTATTATCCTACGTGATGTGTAGATAATGAGTGGGTAGTAAAGGATTCCTAATTAACACATGAATAAAAAGTTAAGTTTGACCTCCTTAAATTATAATCTAAGCTTTGCCAAACATGTTAGGCTTACAGTGTGAAAGGTTCTCAGTTCGTATCACTCAAGAATTAAAATACCTTTAGGTAACACCATTCACGCATGAGTAGCGTCATAAAAGATAAATTCCTCTATGATTATATATTTTCATTAGTTAATAATACAGGACTTTGCACAGCTGCAGACATGTCTACAAGTGGTACGGTGCACAAGAGTGACAATTTATCAAGTGTCCGATAGTAACTGAGAATAGAATTGTTGTCAAGCAAATTTTCTAGTCGATTGCATCTCAAAAACGATAAAAGGATTAACAAGTTGAAAATCTAACAGAAACTTGCACCAGCGTCATAGGAACATGTACCTCTAGCTTCCACTGGGAAAGAGAAGCTTTAAGCATTGCCTGAAAAACATTGGGGTCCATAGGCTCCTTCATATCCACTATGACTCCCTCATGGTCATCCTCACAAGCAGGAAGCAATTGAAACTTTGGAACTCCGACTTCAACAACATTTTGCCCCATTAAACTGCATAATATCAGAAATGAGACATAACGATACTGTTCGTGAACTTAACTGGTGCATACCACTGAAAATCAGTTCCATCGATCAAAAAAAAATAAAATAATAAATTAAATTAAATTAATTAAAAACTGGTTCTGATTATACTGTTAAAAACAGACTAAAGTGTCTTTGAATTATTAAAAATAAACTTCAAGTTTTCGCAAGCAGTTAGCAATTCTTTGGCAAGAAAATTGATTTTACCAGAACAGTCTAAACTATAATCCGTCAAACAAAAATCAAAACTAAAGCAATTATAATTAATTCTATATCAGATAAGGCACACGCTATGATAAATGAATAACAATATATTTAAACTAAAAAATAAACGTGTACCTTTGCACCTTTGCAGAAGCAGCACCAAAACTACGAAGTACTGCTGTTGCAAGTTACTAATGTACCAATAATTGATAAGATTCGCAATTAAATAGAGGTAAGGATGAGCGGCGAAACTAGCATGCGCCGAGTGCGTACGAATAGCGTACCTGGAAGTTTATTACGTTATTGTGGTGGCCCAGCACACGTAGCCGCCTGCCGGCCGACGATTTTGTTAGGTGTTAGCATGAGAGGCGGATGGCCATACCCTACACTGAAAAGGACACGCTGAGTCCGACCAATGCACAGCCAAATTCATCGACTTGCGACCACAAAATCAACCGCACAAGAATTGCACGAAAGGTCCCGCCCTTATAACTGAATATACAGTGGACAATTTTTTATTTCTTGCACCATATTTTAATTATGCTCAACTCTTTATAATGTTTATATGCCTAACGATTTTTTATCACATTCTTATCCTTAACTATCGATTAGTTAACACATTTTGTATTTGATAACAATCTTATATTCAAAACGTCCATTGAAATAGTGTATAACATCCTATTTTCTTATCATATTTTAAAAAATAATAATAAATAAAAAGTACGATATTTTCCCCATTTCAACAAATAGAAACAAATTTTTTTTGGCATAAATCATCATCAAGGACCAGATGTACTAATTAAAAGAATATTGAATCTAATAATTCGACCAAAAAAATTATGAAAATAATTGAAAAGTTTAATTGCAATTAAAATATGATGTAACAAATAAATATTTTGAAGCCAATATATTATAAACCATAATTTCAAGACACGCCCACACTTAAAGGGATTATAACATTACAAAATTTGGATCTTGAGTCTTTCTTTGAATATTTTGTTATTATTTAAAAAATCAACAATTAATTTTAATTCCTCTTTGGATTTTAATATAAATTAATTATTAACAATTAAATTTAATTACATATTTAATGGGATTCACAATTTTTTAATCACGCATATCATCAATTCTTGTCAAAATCTACAAAAAAAAAAAAAAAAAATCCTATTTTAGTGCCCATCAAACGGGGCTAAAAAAGTTTGTTAGATTCAAACATGAAGAATTGAAAAATGTTTTTTATTTTTAAAAAAAAAAAAAATACTATGCTGATATATTGAAATAAAAAATAAAAAAATCCATTAATTTTTATTTATTTATTTATTTATTAGCTTACAAAACTAGTTGGGCCAGGAGGCAGGGCTGCTAGGCTAAAGCCGAAAATCATGCACTTGAAGAATCAATGATTGCAAGATTAAAAAATTTAAGATTTATATGTTAAAAAATAAATGTTAAGATCTAAAACACTACTATGGCCCCGTTTGGTAGCTATTTTCTTCAAAATGTATTTTTCTCTTTCTTCTTTTTAACTACACATTCTTTATTAAAATAATATTACACGTAAATTAAAAAAAATTCTTATTTTTTAACCACGTATTTCACATTAATTTACTATTTTAAAATGTATTTTTACATAAAAATGCCTATCAAACACATATCCATAAGTTGATGGACCCAAAATAACTTTTCCAACTTTTGAATTTCACCCGACAATCGACATGCCCATTTGACTTTGAAAAGGTTTGTTGTCCATTTATGTTTGGACTTTAGTATTAATGTTTGGATTGTTATGTCCAATAATATATATTATGGAGTCGTGACGGTGGTATGGGGCATATTATTACCCTACAAATAACGTGTTACTTGACAAGTAACGATTTTTATTATTTTAAAATGAGTTGAGTAGGATGTGGCGTCAATGGCGGCGTACGATAAGAGATAGCGATACGGTTGATTTTGGGAAAGAGTAATGCTATTTATTCTCACTGATGTTGCAACTTCAATCTAAAAATGTGAAATTATTTAATTTTTCTATCAATTAATGGCACATTAACACCACCTAAATTGAGGTTGCAACCCCAGTGAGAGTAAATAATATTACTTTTTTGAAAAATGGTATTAAGTTAATAAGGTTTAAGATTAGAGTAATGAGGTAACACCTGTATTAACTATCAAATAACTATTTTTTTTGTAAATTTAGTTGAGAATTGGTAGGTATAGCGTTTAATAAGGTGGAGTTGTTGAAGGTATTGATTTTGGATGGTAGTGCTTTGTAGATTGTGTCCGTTGAACGAAAGGTAAGGATAATACATGTTATCGACATAAAACATGATATTTTTTAATATGAAATAATACATGATAACACAACATGTTATCCATATGAAATAGTGATTTTTCAATAAATAAATAAAAACTATGGTAAATGCCCTAAAATATTACTTTTAACAAAAATATAAATATTTCGATGTTATTGTACAAGTAATACAATTACATATAATGCTATCCAAACATGTAATTCGTTTTAAAAAAAAAGAGTTAATTTTTAAGGTAAATTTAAAATATTAATTTCTAATGAAAAGTGGATGTACTAAAAAATAAAAAGAAGGAGATAGATGTAAAACACTAATTTTTAGAGAAGAAATGGAATTTTTTTAAAATGATGTATTTTTAAATTTTTGGACGAAAGTAAGATATGTGCAAAGTTCTTTTTAAGGGTGTTATAAAGGTAGTAATAAAATACAATTTCAAAATTAAGAAACTTGTTTTAAAGTTTCAAAAATCAGATCATAATTCACATTTTAAGAATTAAATATATAATTGAAAATATTTTTACTAGATAAATAGATAATTAAATATATTAAGATCACAATATTATACAGTTTATGATCATAATTACTACTAGTTATATCGCAGGACATCATAACCACAAATCATAAATTTTATAGATCACAACTTATTTTATTAGTCATAAATTATCAAATTAATTGGTTATACGTTATTTATCGATCACAAATTACAAGATCATAACTTATTTATCGATCATGAATTATCAAATTAATAGGTCGTACATTATTTTACGATCACAAATTTTATAGATCATAACTTATTTTGCGGTCACAAATATCAAATTAGTTGATCACAACTTAATAAATTATGAGTCACAATTACAAATTCAGTCGTAATCTCACATACTTCTGAGTTAAATCAATTCCGGATGAATGAGAAATTGCGAACTAAAGTTGGAAGAAATGAAGTGTTGCAACTTTTCGAAAGGATACAGGTTTTAGCCAAGTGTTGCAACTTATTGAAAGGATGCATGTTTTGGCCCACATTATTTCATTTGTACCCTTTCTACATCTATAAATCTTATTTTTTAACCACGTATTTCACATTAATTTACTATTTTAAAATGTATTTTTACATAAAAATGCCTATCAAACACATATCCATAAGTTGATGGACCCAAAATAATTTTTCCAACTTTTGAATTTCACCCGACAATCGACATGCCCATTTGACTTTGAAAAGGTTTGTTGTCCATTTATGTTTGGACTTTAGTATTAATGTTTGGATTGTTATGTCCAATAATATATATTATGGAGTCATGACGGTGGTATGGGGCATATTATTACCCTACAAATAACGTGTTACTTGACAAGTAACGATTTTTATTATTTTAAAATGAGTTGAGTAGGATGTGGCGTCAATGGCGGCGTACGATAAGAGATAGCGATAGGGTTGATTTTGGGAAAGAGTAATGCTATTTATTCATACTGATGTTGCAACTTCAATCTAAAAATGTGAAATTATTTAATTTTTCGTATCAATTAATGATACATTAACACTATCTAAAGTAAAGTTGCAATTCCAGTGAAAGTAAATAACATTACTCTTTTAATAAATGGTATTAAGCTAATAAGGTTTAAGATTAGAGTAATTAGGTAACACCTGTATTAACTATCAAATAACTATTTTTTTTAAATTTAGTTAGGTTAGCGTTTAATCAGGTGTAGTTGTTGAAGGTATTGATTTCGGATGGTAGTGCTTTGTAGATCGTGTCCGTTGAACGAAAGGTAAGGATAATACAACATGATATCGACATAAAACATGATATTTTTTAATATGAAATAATACATGACGACACAACATGTTATCCATACAAAATAGTGATTTTTCAATTAAAAAAAAAACTCTGGTAACATGCCCTAAAATATTATTTTTAACAAAAATATAAATATTTTGATGTTATTGTACAAGTAATACAATAACATATAATGCTATCCAAACATGTAATTCGTTAAAAAAAGGAAAAAAAAAATGAAGGAAAGATAGAGAAGTTATTTTTTAAGGTAAATTTAAAATATTAATTTTAAATGAAAAGTGGATGTACTAAAAAATAAATAGAAGGGGATAGATGTAAAACACTAATTTTTAGAGAAGAAATGGAATTTTTTTTAAAATTTTTGGACGAAAGTAAGATGTGTGCATAGTTATTTTTAAGGGTGTTATAAAGGTAGTAATAAAATACAATTTCAAAATTAAGAAACTTGTTTTAAAGTTCCAAAAATCTGATCATAATTCACATTTTAAGAATTAAATATTTAATTGAAAATATTTTTACTAGATAAATAGATAATTAAATATATTAAGATCACAATATTATACAGTTTATTATCATAATTACTACTAGCTATATCACAGGACGTCATAAACACAAATCATAAATTTTATAGGTCACAATTTATTTTATTGGTCATAAATTATTAAATTAATTGGTTACACGTTATTTATCGACCACAAATTACAAGATCATAACTTATTTATTGATCATGAATTATCAAATTAAAAGGTCGTACATTATTTTTTGATCACAAATCACAAATTTTTTAAGTCATAACTTTTTTTGCGCTCACAAATATCAAATATGTTGATCACAACTTAATAAATTATGAGTCACAATTACAAATTCAGTTGTAATCTCACATTCTTCTAAGTTAAATATTATTTATTGACCACAATTTATCTATTTTATCAATTACATACTATTTATTTGTCAAAAATTGATCATTTTATTGGTCACAACCATCCAAATAATTGGCTAAATCCACCCCACCCCAACATACACCAACCGAATGCCTCGCCACTTCATAACCACGACCAACACAACTATGACCTGCACGACTACCATTTGTAATCACCTCCAGCACTACCACTACTTATACAACAACCATCGACAGAACCTCGCCATCACCATCTATACCACCACAAACAAACCCCTCAAACTTTGGCTAAACAAATCGGACCAGATTAGAAGAGAAAAAAATCACTATAAGATGGAGGTGATCGCCATTGCGCACAACGTCGTACGTATAGTGAGAGGCATTGCACACGACGCCCAAAATCATCGCGGCTGCACATGATGCACTTCAGTTCCGCCTACTTCCTCTTCTACATTTTCGTCCTGGCCCTTGTCTCCACA